GCATCGCAATGGCTCCAGCTGCTGAGCAGACCCCAATTTCAGCACCTTAGGAATGCGTTTTAGTCAGTTTTTCATACGTTATTATATGTGTGATTTGTGTGTGTGTGTGTGTGTGTGTGTGTGTGTGATTTTTAAACATATGAGTGATTCAATAGTCCTGGTGAGACAGACACATAGATGATGAGTAACACTCCAGCACAGAGCAGGTAGCAACTGACTGTGAGAAGCCAGCTGTATGGTCTTTGTGCTAGACTTAAAGAGTGAATGAAGTTCTATTACAGAAAAAAAGATGAAAGGTATCAAGCAGTCAGACAAAATATGAAACAAGCAAGATACAGAAAGAAACACACGAGCTGTTTTAAGTGCTAAAGCCAGAGCAGCAGGTAGAACGTGCCATGGTTAAGAAAAGCACGTAAGGGGAAGTGTCAAGTTTCCTGAATTCTGTGCAGAATCACCACATTTAACGAGCACCCTAGAAAACATGCTAGTGTGTTCCAGAAGAAAAGACACTAAAGCCCTTACTAAGACACAGGCCGCAGACTTCAGGCCTCAAACCTTGCAGAAGCAGCGTTGCATGTAAATGAAGTCATCTTAATCCACCTGCAGTTCTTCCACATAGCAGCAATTGCCTGTGATCACTGAACAAATTTGAAAACCACCCCGTGAAACCAGCCCAGCTTCCTAATTGCAGAATTATAAGCAAGAGATCAGAAGAGGACATAGGCGCTGTCATACACTGAAATCAGTGGCACAGGCTTTGAGAATAAACACATTTGGGAGGCTGAAAAAAGCAGCAAGAAGAATGTTATAGAACCTGCTACTGGAGACAGTGAAAGGTCAATAATCCCAGTTGTATAATGAAAGGAAATGGTGAGAATATTGCCCATAAAATCTAAAAGTGATTTTAAAAAGCATTTTTTATCTTGTTGAAGAAATAACATATCCAAGCAGTTAGTGAAGCTAGCAACTGGCACATAGGTACTTCCCACATACAAGGACAGTGATTCACACGGCAGTCAGGAGTGCAGCAAGAGCCAAAGACAGCCAAACCCCGGAGTTCAAGTGGACTTCAGTCAGAGAATGTCCCCTGCTCCTCGGGCAGGGAATCCTGACAAAGGGAATCCACAGCGCAGAACCAAGACAACACCTCGCCGAATTTCAGTGACAGAGTGAGTTAGTGACTGTGGCACTCTTCACCTTTCAGAATGGGAGTCCTGTCCAGCTATTCCAATTCAGTCTTACTTCTGTTGTGGTTGTGGAGAACAGCGACTGACCTGCTTAGCTCTCGGTGTCTGGGGTCCACAGAGCCTCGGGCTAAGAAGCTGCATTCATACACGGAGCTGTGCTCAGTAATGCTGTTCTAAATTTAACACGACGCCATAATGGTAGAGCACGGTGGTTTTGCGAATGAAAGGCGGGGTTGGGAGAGTTCAGCAAGTTGGCTCCAGCACCGTACTCCACGGTCTTCTTTTTTTAATGTTCTTCCCAGTAGCCCTTTCCTCGTGTGGCCCTTCATACCTTCATTTCACACCTATGACAAAGTGAACATTCTCCCCCAGTCTTGTCCTTCTCTTTCCTATTGTACTGTGGAAAAGTTCAAACCAGACTTCTTTTCTTTTTCTTTCTTTTTTATGGTACTCGGGATCAAACTCAGGACCTTGCGCTTGCCAGGTGGCGCTTATGTCACTGAGCTATCTAGCCCGGCCCGTAGGCCAGATTGTTAAAGGATGACAGACCACATAGAGAAAGATCTTGGAAATGAGAAACTTTTTTTTAGTAGTCAAAATTTTTATTAGATATATATTTTTTTGAGTTATGAAAATTTTCCTCAAATAGTATGTAAATTATTGCTTACAACATACTAGCATTTCATTATTTGCATTACAAAGAGACACACTAGATTCATTTATTAAAATCCCAACCATTTTCTAGAAAACACAGCCCAAATTTGATATTCTTGTAGCAAGCTTTAGAGTCATGGGAAGAATGCACATTTAGGGCTTACAAAGACTCCCCAGAGTTAACAAGCCCAGGTCTCTAGAGCACTGTGAGTAGCGAACCCTTTCACACCCCAATCCCAAGCAGGCGCCCAGTGGGATTCAGCTTCCTGTGTGCAGCGTCGGCTGATTCTGCATTAAACAGGAATACCTTTGAGAAACAGTAAGCCATTACAGTTTTAACCCCATAAATTTTGTGTTGCTGTACCTCACGGTAGTGCATGACTGAAATCTGTGCCACTGTTTTCGTCTCTACCGCCCTAATGGTTAAGCAGGTGTACAAGTACCAAAGATCAACAAGCCAAATTGTTTTAACAGAACAGAAGAAAAGCGATGTGCAGCTACTGTGTTCGGTTTCCATTACGTGTGTGGTCACATTACTACTTGAGCTGTGGTTCATTTCTAAGACTAATTTAACATTTAGGTTTGTATAGCTCAGAAAATACGCTGTGAGATGACTTGTTGCTAAACACCAATACTTTCCATCAGCAGGAAAACACTATGCAAATGATTTTATGTTGCATAAAATACAGGGGCATGTGCAGCACCAAGAACACACACATAAATCCTTCAATTGGCACCAAATGCCTATCACTAAAAATGAACTGGCTGCATCCGCAGACTTTTCCTTTGTATACAACAAGCTTTTGTATTCAATTGGAAACATGTATGCATGTTTTACAGGCATTTTATCATCACTACAACCAACACCGTATGGAGAAGGTAACTGGTTTCTGTACCAGTAAGCTACGGGCATAAACTCCAAGCTCAACTCCGCCACTTTCCGTAGTGCGTCACAGGAAGAAGACGCACGTTTGTGCCGTGTCCACTCTTTCACCTTCCTCCATCCGGATAAGCAATGACAAAGATAATGAGACCTAAAGGCAGACAAGTAGAAGCGCTAGGGAAACTGCCCCTGCTTATCATTTGTCCCAATTAATCTTTGTAAAAGGACTGAAGAAATTTTAACAAAAACAGAAAAAGAAATTTCACAGGACAAGTACATTAAATAAGAAGAAAATATCTAGTTACCAGGGTAGTTTAATTTAATCCTGTGGTCAATGCCCTAAACATACAAATATTAAGTAATGACTGATCACATAAATCAATAGGATATTGACCTACTTTTTAAACATTTAGAAAACTAATTATCAATCAATGTCTATAATGTATTCTTACTTTAAGATGTGCAAAAATTGTGTAGTTGCTAGGTGTAAAACATTTTCCCCTAGCTCTTATTTTCTTCTCAATTTCACTAATTAATTACTTATGTATGCAAACTTTTCATTACGGAATTTCCATAAATATTTTATAATCCTCTCTGGGATCATTTATGTTTTATTTTCCTCCAAAACAAATTCTTCTTTAGGTGAACAAAAATTTTAGATTCACTCATTATTGTTAAATGTAAATCAAACATATTTTTGTGATTCAATAGTAGAGAAATGGTATACTCAGACATATGTTAATATTAAAAGTCTCTAATACCAAACATGATGATTACTGAAACCAATAGTGAACTTTTAGAAGTGAAGAACCCAGGTACTTTACAAACAGATAAAAACTTTAAAAATTCACCCTATAATACCCATAACTGTTATACACATATAAGTTCTCTTACTTATTACTGCTTTTTAACCAATGTGAATATACTATTCATAGAAAAGCAATAAATCAACATAGTGTGATAAGAAAATGTTCTGTAACTTGCCAGTAACAAGTAAATCTCTCTTTGTTGCTATTTAAATATATATTATTTCTATATTTTGTTTCAAATATGAGTCCTAATTTCAAATAGAAGATTGTAAAGATATCTATATAACATTTTTAATCTGTATATTCACAGGATTAATAAGCTTTCAGTGGATTACTATAAAAAGGGAAAATATTTTGTTGGATACCAGGTTATATGAGGGTTAAATTGCTAATCATGAAGGAACCTCTGACTTTGTTGGAAAAGCTCAATATTTGCAGCAGGCAGCTGAGGACAGGGGCTTCTGACATCCCCTATTCTGGAGTAATAAAGCTGCCAACTTTAGAGATCATTGACAAAATTTACTGCTTGGAGAAGTCTTTGTACTAACTTCCCAAGGTCCTGCTCAGTTCTTGCCTTGTCTCAGTATAGCCTTCCTTTGTTTGAAAATCTAATATATATGGGCTGTCCAGTGGAGCGCCTTGTTTGTCCCCGCAGCCTTTATTCATGATTGAGTGTCGGCCTTCTTGGACTCCCTGCCAACCACAATTCATTGCCTCTCTTTAGTTAAGTCATTTCTCATACAGTCATTTTAAGAGATTGGGGCTAGGCAAGTCCATGATAATATTTCTTCTTGAAAATTACTGACATTTCACTGTGATAACAATGTAGCTCTAAACTTATCTAGAATTGCATGGTGCTGCAATTTCTTTTGTGTATTTTATTTAATATTTTGTACTTAGTACATGGTCTACAGGGTCTCACTACACAGCTATTTCTTGATAATTAGGTCTTACACAAATGCCACTAATA